ATAAGGAACAGCTGATCCTCCTGGAACAGGGACCTCTGGCTGACTAGATTTCCCAGAAGGGCAGATAGGGGGGAATGGATGGGGGTGCTGATTGCACAGTGGACAGTGGCAGGGATAGCAGAGTATGGAGGCTGTCTACCTGACGAGTTTGTATTCATGCTCAGATGCCGAGGAGCTCAGAAGGTGGGCGACTGTGACCGGTGATAGTCATGTGTATAGAGATTAGAAATGTATGTGAAAACGTCTCAATGTCAATAGGCTTGGAATGAATTTTTCTGTATGAAACTGTGTGTTTTGACAACGAAGTAGAGATCTTTTTTAAACGTTGGAACCTCATTTAATTTTATGTCTTATAGAGTTTATAATGAGTAAAAGATTATATAAGTGTAATAATTCATCTGTAAACCTAGAAATGTACAGCCAATTTTGAAAGAGATGTACCCTAGCTCAGAAAAATGTTATTGAATAGGTTAATGCTGTTGTAATGAAATGCTTCTTTTAATTAAAAAAAAAAAAGAATTAATTAGTTGCCAGGCATGGTGGTAAATACCTTTAATCCCAGTACTCTGTGAGTTTGAGGCCAGCCTGATCCATATAGCAAGTTCCAGGCCAGCCAGGGCTACATAGTGACACCCTGTCTCCAAAAAAAGTAAAAAAAAAATAATAATAATTAATGTTTGAGATGGAGAAATGGTTCAGTTCATAAAGTGATTGTAAGATAAGCGTGAGCTGGGTATAGCAGCATGCTTATAACCTCAGCATGGCAGAGACAGAGACAGGCAGATCCCTGTGGACCACGGGCCAGCCAACCTAGCCTATTTGGAGAGCTCCAGGCCAAGAAGAGACCCTGTCAAAAAAAAAAAAAAAAAAAAAAAAACATAGCACCTGAGGAACACCACCACGGAGGGGAGGGGAGACCACACTAGTCTTCTGCTACTGCCCATCCTATTATAACTGGTATCAGATTTGCTTCTACCATAACCAACAGAACTTGACAAGGCCTGTGAAGCCACTTCCAGATACATAACAGTAAGTAGCACTACAGTGACCATCTTTTGCAATTTTCATACAATATAGTTGGATGGTATTTAGGTCCCGCCCCCTATCTGCACCTCCCCCCACTGCCCTCAATTTAATAGCCTCTCATATATACGTGTGTGTGTGTGTGTGTGTGTGTGTGTGTGTGTGTGTAGTGGCCTATAGAGTCTGATTCATGTCCAAATGTCCTTCAGTGTGGCGCCATCTACTGGGCTCACCAAGAGTCTCATCCTTGTAACTGTTTCTCCCCCTCCACAGCCATCAATTACCAAAAGTTCCTTAGGTTGGATTGGGATTTCTTGCCCACTTCCCCATGTCTATGCTGGGATTTTGTCTGATTTGAGCTTGCATGGGATTTGTGCATGCTATCACCATTGCTGTGAGTTCATGAGAGTAACTGCTAGCTGGAAGACTCTATTTCTTTGTGTTCATCCTGCACTCTGGCTCTTACAGTCCTTACACCTCCTCCAATGAAATGACCCCTGAGCCTTGGGAGGCAGAGGTTTGAAATATGTGTCCTATTCAGGGATAAGCACTCTGTGGCCTCTTGTTCTTTGTACCTAGGCTAATTGTGGGTTTCTGTGTTAATCAACTTCTCCTGCATAAGGAAACTTCTCTGGTGAGAGACACATTCCTCCTTTATGTAGAGGTTGCATTGAAGATGTGTCATTTAGGGTTAGTATTTTATGTGTATGAGTGCTTTTCCTGCATGTATATAAGTGTACCTGTGCATGCAGTACCCATGGAGAGCAGAAGAGGGTATTGGATCCCTGTAACAGGAGTTATGGACAGTCATTACCTGTTGTGTGGGTGCTAGGAATTGAACCCAGGTCTTCTGCAAGAGTGGCCAGTGCTTTTAACCACTGAGCCACCTCTCCAACCTCTATATATGTATTTTAGAGATAGCTTCTGAATTTTTCTTTTTACCCGAGGCCAACTGAATATTCGAGGTGCATTGTAACTCTTTTTATTAGAATTTAAGCATTAGAATTTAGGCATATATATGAATATATATATTTCAGTAGTAAACACTGATTTCATAAGAAAAGCATTCTAACCATAAGAAATGAAAAATATTTCCTCAACACTTTTGTTTCTTTAAGAGATGATGGTTTCTCATTCAAGAACATAGAACCTTTTTGAGATGAGTATCTCTGAGGAGACTAACTGGAGCAATTATATTCAGTATCAGAAATATCTGTAGAGCCAACTGCTAAGTGTCACTTATGCCTAGATTTCTATGTGCTGCATTTTCAGTCAGTGGAGCCTAGTGAAATGAAACATGCAACTCCACCATCAGGACCAGCATCAGGAGCCACTGAGCCACCCAGTGTTGAAAAAGAAATAGACCCCAACAGCATCCCCACGGCGATCAAGTACCAAGATGACAATTCTCTGGCTCATCCAAATGTAAGATTCTTATTTCTCATGAATGTCAGTTGAAGTCTAGCTCACTAAAAGTCATCCAAGCAGTTATCCCTTTGTTCTGACACCAAGAAGAAACTGGAGGAAATGGGATTATAGTTTCTGTTTGCTAAAATTGGGCTGCTGATTTCAAAGTCTGTGGTCTGTGCATGTTTCCTGACTTCTAGAAGTAGATGAAAATGAAGATGTTTTTCTTTTTTACAATTGACAGTAAAAATTCCTATTCTAGTTCTTTGACTGTGAGCCTGTCACTAATTCCATATTTTGCTGTCTTTGTGAGAAAATGTAATTGACCATGTTTCTCAGAAAGGTTGTAAGAAATGAACTCACAAATACAGGGTACAGAATTGCCAGCCAGTGGCATTGAGATTATTCCTTTTACTCTAAGCTTTATTAACTCCCAGTAGATAGACTTAGGTAAGCAGTCATGTGTTAAACAGTATCTACTCTTGTTCTGAAAGATAAATTCTGTATTTTAATTACTGAGAATATATCTCAAAGTGATCTGTGCTATATCAATTTCAAGTTATTGATATACAATAACTTTTTCTCTCTCTTTTAAATTTTAGCTATTTATTGAAAAAGCTGAAGCTGAAGAAAAGTGGTTCAAGAGATTAATTGCTCTCCGACAAGAAAGGCTGATGGGCAGTCCTGTGGCCTGAGTGATATGCTTATAGTTGAATTGACAGGAGCCTTGAAAGTTTGGGTTTCTAAACACCTGTATTAACTTTTATTCGTAAAAAGAATTCAGTTGATTATATGAACAGGAAATCTCATTTAATTTTCCTTCATAGAATATTTGTTGATTTGAATCAAACATTGTGAATAGTGAAGCTAGTATAAAAGTTATGAATGCATGAAAATTTTACAATGCTAATAAAGCAAATCAATAATACCAGTATTGAGGTGGTACTCAGTAGTGTTTCTCAGTTCAATTTGAAAGATACCAAGTTTTTGACTAAAATTGATAATTATGCACATATAGTAGTCAAATTATTTGCTATAAATACAATATTTCATTTCCCATGTATTATGAAACCTCTCTTAAATCTTATTTCACCCTTCTTAAGATTTCAGGCATCATAAAAGGTCCCCTAAGCAATCTAAGCAAAATGAGCATGTGCGATTTAAAAGAATGACATGTTCATTAAAAGGTTTTCTTATTGCTGGATATGGTGGTGCATGCCTGAGGGCAGAGGCAGGCAGATCTCTGTGAGTTCGAGGCTAGCCTGACCAGCTTGGGGCTCTGCAGAGAGATCCTGTCTCAAAAATACTGAAAAAAAAAAAAGGTTTTCTTATGTTGAGTGTGGTCTCATGCTTCTAATCCAAGTATTCTGGAGGCTAAAGCAGAAGCAGCTCAAGTACAAGGCCAGCCTGAGCTATAGAGCAAGCTCTAGGCAAGCCTGGCCTATACAATGAGACCCTGTCTGAAAAAAAATTTTTTAATTAAAAAAATTGATGGGGTTTGCTTAGAAATCACCTTGTACCATGTGTTCTATTTCAGTTGGAAGCTCATTCTTATAGAATCTTAGACTCATTATATTAGTTGTAAAGGACCTGGCAGAACTTAAAAACAAAGACATTATGGCTCCTGGTCTCAGAAGTTTCAGTCCATGGTCAGCTGGCTCCACTGCATTCAGTCCTGAGGCAAGCAGAAGCATAGCAGGGCATGGCAGAAGAAGGCTGCTCACTTAGTGGCAGCCAGGAAGCAGAGTTAGGGAGAGATTAAGGCAAAGATAGGCCCTTCAAAGACACACCTACAATAACCTACTCCTAGTCAGTCCTCTACCTCCTAATAGCTCATTTAGCTATGAACCCATGTCTAATCCACATTGAAGTTACAATCCTCATGATCCAGTTACTGTCTCAACAGCACCACCAGTTAGGAGCCAAGTCTTAATAAATGCATGAGGCTTTGGGGCGGGGGGCAATTCATTTCCAAATTTTAACACTCATGCTAGACCTAACTAGCTTACCAAATTCCTGTGGTGTGGAAATCATCTCTGAGAAAGCAGTCAGAACTCTCACATCACCCATGCTTAGCCAGGTGCCATTCCCTACAGAGGAAGCTGCCCCCGCTATAGGTGCAGAATGCTTTTCTGTAGTAGCCAGACGGCAGTTGGCTCTGCAGGATGTACTGAACATGCTACAGAAGGATTTGGAGCCTTCCTGTACAGAAATGGTTTTCAACCACTGGCACAATTTTTTTTCTATTTTTCTCTGTTGTCCAGTCTCACTCTAATTTAGTCTCTATGAAGACTCTTGCTTCGAATTCAACCCTGAAAAGTCCCTGGGTTAAATGGGGTATTTTAATGCCAACTTTTTTATACTTCTAAAACTAATAAAATACTCATCTCTATTAAAAATGAAAAATACAAAGTACTTATACTCAATTGCAAGTATTATAGAAAAATTTGGTGATTGAAAACACTTGTTTCCATATACACATTTTCTGATCTAGGTGGAGGCTGTTTTCCTCAACTGAAAATAGAAGTATTCAATATGAAATCAAGTCTGTGTGGCATCTTGGTTTTGGGTTTGGGATTTTTTTTATTTTATGTGTATGGGTGTTTTGCCTGCATGTATATAGTTACCCCCATGCATGCAATGCCTGTAGAGGCCAGAGGAGGACATTGGATCCCCTTGTAACTAGAATTATGGACAGTGGTTAGCTGCCACATGAGTGCTGGGAACTGAATTCAGGTCCTCTACAAGAGCAGCCAGTGTTCTCAACCACTGAGTCATCTCTCCAGTCCCATTTACAGGCTTTTTTTTTATGTCTTTCATTTTTAACCTGATGTGTATGAGCATTTTGCCTACATGTATATGAGTACACCCATACATGCAATACCCATGGAGGCCAGAAGAGGGCATGGGATTCCCTGGAACTGGAGTTACAGATGGTTGTTAGCTGAACTGTATAGTGTTTAATACAGTTTTATTGATTTCAAAGGGATTACAGTTCCTGAAATATTTTGCTTTTTGTTCTTTTATAATTTGTAAACTGTAAGTGTGCCCTCAGCATCTCCAGGAGTACATGTCTAGGAGAGAATACAGGTTGCCATCTGGGCCACCACTAAGCCTGCAGAGTTTTCTCGATACGCTTGTGGTTGCTCATCTATTCAGCGATGATAATATTGCAATCTACTTTACAAACTGCTTACCACTGACGTTCCTCAGTGACAAGTACCACCAATGCAGAAGCTTGAATTGTAATAAATTTGTATTTTAAAGGCAACTGCTTTGTGGAGAATGTTTTGTGACTACTGCTCCTTCCTTTTGGGGTGTCATTAACATTGTTTACCTGTGTGTCTTTCTAAAAGCCACAACGTGACCACAGAAGCCAAATCAAATTTAATGAGAGGACTTCAGAGAACATTATCAAACACATTGCCAAACTCAAGCTACATGATGCACCCTGACTTCCTTTAACATCTTTAAATAATGAGCCTGTAAAACAAAACTATCTTTTTCATGTTATTTGATGAATGATAACAATGTGGGCTTACATATGACCTTAAGTGCTTTGAAACACTGGTTTTTTTACAAATAATATATGCTAATAATGAAAGTTGGGTTTTAATTTCTGACCACTGAGTACATTCTTAGGGAGAATAGACTAAGAACATTGTCTCTGGCACTCCCTGGTTATGAGGAAACCGAAACCTAAAGACAACAGGACAGAATACTTTAGGTCGTTTGCCTACTCGGCTTGAGCGTTGTAGCATGAGAAGTGGGGATACCAATAAAAGACCTGCCTGCCTTGATTTTTGAAAAACAAGTGATGTAAAAGAAAGTTTTTCATGGAAAAGCATGTTACTTATGATAGGTGAACATTTTGATATGGGAGACATTTTAATGAAATATAGAACAAACAAGCCAAGAGTAATGGCACATGCTTTTAGTCCCAGCACTGGGGAGGCAGAGGCAGACAGATCTTTGTGAGTTCAAGGCCAGCCTGGTCTACAAAGCGAGTTCAGGTCAGCTGGACCTATAGGGAGACCCTGTGTCAAAAAAAAAGAAATGTGGAACAAACAGTTGCATGGGTAATGATCAGAAAAAAGTCTACACTCCAACTTGTGTGTGCTTTGAGCAGCCCTTGGCAATAGCCCCATCCCCACTTTGTAGTCAACCTTGCCTGATCTGCTTCCTGGCCAAGGCTGTAAGAAACACTACCTGCACTACCTGTTTCATCTCTACTGGCCTGCCATATACTTACTAGAGAAATCTAGATCTTCATGGTCAGATTTACAACTTTTTCATGAACATTAGTTTGAGTGCCTAGTTTATGCTGGGGATAAATTAGGGTCCTTGGGGGCTACACAAGTGAATGAGTGAGAATCCTATCAAGAGACTTAGTTATGAAGCCTAGATATGTAAGTCATGTAAGAGATCTAGTACATAGTGGCAGAGGGAAGTTCTGGGCTGTAAAAAAAAAAAAAAAAAAAAAAAAAAAGAGAGGAATTACTACTGTGTGTCAGAAGATTAAGGCAGACTTCATGAAAGAGATCACAACTGAACTAAGACTCAAAGGCTAAGAAGGCTGCAGCCACTGGAGTCCACAAAGCTTCCCTTTGCTTTGGGCATCATTTGAAAATCTTTCAGTGAACAAAAAAGATAGCTATAAAAACTAGAAATGAAATCAATTATAGGACTTTTAAACACTAACTTGGATGAGTTGGTCTGCAACTCACTGTACTCCCTCATTTCCCCTTTCCCTACTCAAAGTCCTTTGTAAGAGATTTTAAAGCAGTTCTTCATTATAACTCAGTTCACACAATATTTGGGTTATTTAGATAATTTTTAAAATGCCATCCTCACAAACCTTACTCTTTGGAACTTTTTAGTTATTTTTATTTTTTTATGTGTATGCATGTTTCGCCTGCATGTGTGTAGGTGCACCCATGTTGTGCAATACCCATGGAGGTCCGAAGAGGGCATCAGATGCCCTGGAACTGGAGGTACAGACAGTTGTTAGCTGCCATGTGGGTGCTGGGATTCAAACCCAGATCTTCTGTAAGAACAACCAGTGTTCTTAACCACTGAGCCATCTCTCCAGCCCTCTTTGGAACTTCTTATGGGAAAATTTGTATTGTTCATAAGAAAATATCCAAGTATTTACAGCACAGCAGGAATGAAAACAGAGATAAGAAACACTGCAAATTTTGTGATTATGGTAACCTCATGAGGATAGGCATTAATATATTTGACTCCAATTTGTCATGGGTTTTTTTACTAAATAAAAAAGCTCAGATATAATACATTTCCAGATCGTTTTTGCTAGCATTTTACCCTAAGAATTTTTCCCAGTGCTTGACACAGAGACTCTCTCAACTGTTTTTTTAATTATGAAAGAATTTTTCCCATCTGAAATAGCACATCATTTAGAGTCCAGTCACGTAAATTGTTCAAGTGGGACTAAGGTATTTACGTTAGTTTCTTACTGCTGGGAAAAGTCCCTGAGCAAAGCAGCTTACAAAGGAAAGGTTTATTTGGGTTCATAGTTTTGGGGTTTTTCAGTCCATGTGGCAAGAGGGCATGGCAGAGCAGCTCAGCATGGTTCACAGGGAGCAGGCAGCATACACCTCTGCTGGCAAGGCGTTGTTCTTTCTCACCTCTGAGACCAAGTAAGTCTGTGGGGACACCTGCATTCAGAGGTTGTCATTTGATTGATCCTTTCTGAAGATACATCTAGAGGTGTGGTTTACTTACCTCCTAGACACATCTTAATCCAGTTAAATTAACAAATTGACCAGCATATTATTATTGTCAGAGTGCTTGCCTTGCAAGCCTGAGGCTGTGGATTCAACCCTTAGCACCAAAAATAAAGAGTAAGTGCAAGAAAATAAATTGCTCAAGCTCTTTGGAACCAGTACAAAAATAAATGAATTGTGCAGCCCAATTAGTTTGGTTTCTCCACTTTATATTTCCAAATGTCTCTAAGCCTACAGAAGCTTTTGGATGTCATAAGAAATAGAGAATAATGTGGTACCTTCTGGATTAGCAGCTGATGGCAGTGGCACTACAGTTTAAACAAGGATTTTAATCTTATAATTTTCCAGGCTTTCATTAGGGTCTGCTTCTTTATTGTATAAATACTTGAAATGATGTGTATATGATCATTAAGGTTCTACCCCTGGCAGCCTATGATTTCCTCTCCTTCCAAAGATCAATTTTCAAAAAAATAAAACCAATATAGTAAGACAACACTTTAAACTCCATATTGTACCACTTTATTTTTAGGTCTTCGGGAGGAA